GCATCGACGACCGCTCTCGAGAGGGCCAGGGAGGCGAGGGTTCGGTCGCGTCTACGGCCGCATCGGGATCTCGAGCCGATGGTATCGACGACCTCTCTCGAGGGGGCCAGGGAGGCGATGGCCGGTCACATGTGCGGCGGCATCGGGATCTCGAGCCGATGGTATCGACGATCTCTCTCGAGGGGGCCAGGGGGGCGAGGGCAGGTCGCATGCGCGGCCGCATTAGGATCTCGAGCCGATCGTATCAAAGACCGCTCTCGATGGGGCCAGGGAGGCGAGGGCCGGTCGCATGTGCAGCCGCATCGGGATCTCGAGACCATAGCATCGACGAGCTCTCTCGAGGAGGGTGAGGGAGGCGAGGGCTGGTCGCATCTACGGCCGCATCGGGATCTCGAGCCGATAGCATCGACGACCTCTCTCGAGGGCCAGGGAGGCGAGGGCCGGTCGCATTTGCGGCCGCATCGGGATCTCGAGCCGATGGTATCGACGACCTCTCTCGATGGTGGCCGGATAAAATATTCCTGCGCCCCGGCTCGGGAGGTATCCCAATTTGAATTGGAAAACAATAAGAGTGGCATACGAGCACCAAGAATGATAATATAGAGGATAGGAATAAGCATACTAGTAAAAGTAGTAATAACAACTATAAATTTCATAATAATAGTAGTAATAATAAAAATAATAGTATAAATAATATTAGTAATCGTAATGGTAATGGCAATAATGATAATAATAATAATAATGGCAATGCAACAGAAAACACGAAATATGGGTAATCATATGAATAAAAAATAGTAATCTTGTTCCGGATCATATCCTTATTAATAACATTTTTTAAATAAAAAAACATACGAATAATCAGAAGGATCGTACACATCAGAAAAATACGGTTAATAATGATGGACAAATGAGTAATGCAGAAAAGAGTAAGAGTAATACTATTACAAACAGCAGTAACAATAATAGTAACCAAAATAGTAACACTCAGACTCAGGATCAAACTGATAATCATGATAATAGTGTTCAGAATAAGAACCATAATTAGGGTACGAACCGTAAACCTGATAAGATCACACAAATAAGAATGCGAATGCGAATCGCATGTTTTCCCAATTATTTTCATCACCCTTGTCCTATACCATTTGTATTACCACCCCTGTTGAACAATTGCTGTTTTCCCGGCCGCCGTGTGGGGTAGTGCATCCGAGGATATCGCCCCCGCCACGCACGGCGCGTTATCTTAGCACCGCACCCGCACAACATGATTACGACAGCTTGCCCAAAAAGACAAGGAGTCCAATACGACCAAGAAAAAATACACATAAGAATGGGACTAATAATAATATGCATAAGGGTAAGGATACGAATGAAAATAAAAATGCGAAAACACACGGAATCCCCTGCTTATTTCCTCCCTCCCTCCTTTTTCTCATGTTCTTCATCATCCTCGTCCTATACGATCCATAGTACCACCTATATTGAAACATTGATTGCATCCAAGGATCTCGCCCCAGCCACGCACGGCGCGTTATCTTAGCACCCGCACCGCCAACATTATTCGCCCCCCATCGTAGGCACGGACGGTTCCTTTTCAAAGCTGGGCTCTCCCTTGCGTGGGACTTAATGTTGTTATTGTTGGGGTTGGGGTTGGCGGTGTTGTTGGTGTTTTTGATGTTGGTGCTGTTGTTGTTGACGTTGCTGTCATTGGCCTTGTTGTTCTAAATATAATTATTATTGCTGGTATTATTGTCATTGCTCGTGTTGGTGCCGTGCCGTAAGGGAGTCTTGAGGAGGAGGAGCAGGAGGATGATTTGTTCTGTTTAGCTGGGCCAAGGCCTCTTGACTGAGGCCTTGGCCCTCGGCTTGATCCGCAATGGCGAATAAGAGGAAGAGGAAGAGGACCCCTGATGAGGAGGAATAGGAGGAGGAGGACCCCTGAGAAGGACGAAGAGGAAGAGGAAGAGGACCCCTGCGCTGGGAAGACGCGCGGCCACTCCAGTTCTCGCCCAGACCGACCACCTGACGCAGACTCGTCTGCGTCCAGAGCAGTTTCTGAGGATGTCTCAGGCGAGGCGCTTGTTTCAGAACCACAAGGAGACCATATTGCGAGAACGTCTCAGGCGGTTTGCTTGTTTCGGCGAGCAGACTCGTCTGCGTTCACGTAAAGGTGCGAGGTGCCAGGGTAACGCTTCTGGGGTGCCCGGTGCGTTATACTTTCGCCGGAGAGGGGGGGTGGTTCTTAATTGCTTGATGCGGTTATCGACGATCTCTCGAGAAGCCCCGTCGAAGCCGAAGGGCCTCGGAGGTGGGGGTCGGGGGGTCGGGGCTCCCGACCCAGGCTGAAGAGGCCCTGGGACACACAAATAAATGTAGTCACAGATCCCAGGATTACCCATATTTTCCATGTTTGCTCAGCTTTCATCTTCCACCCACTTCATATATTTTCCCATGATTTCCTGGGGATAGACGATTCATTGTGTCTGTGTGTTTTCCCCCCCTGACAAGCATCCGACGTCGCATGTTTTTCAACACGTGGCTTCCAGGCGGTCTGGACCCCTCGCCGGAGACCGGCTTCTCATTCTGGGTCGTTTCTGTCGACTGCCATGGGGCCGAAAACCTTTTCCTTCTGGGGCGGTGGGGGAGAAGATGGGAGCGGGCGCCGAAACTGTGCGTCTTGCCCCCTCTGGAAAACAGCGGCCAATGAAAGGAGCTGCCCGTGACAACTGCTGCCCGGGCGAGCGCTTGAGGAGGAGGGCGAGGGGGACGAGGAGGAAGAAGAGATGACAGAGAGGCAGCCAGAAGCGGCAAATCACGAGCTACACCTGCGAGCGTCAGATGCAACAAAAACACAAGTGGCGAGAGGAGACAGGGAAAGAGAAGGGGCGGAAATTCGGGAAGTTCTTCGCCCAAGAGCCCAACGCGTGCAGTACATATCATAATGCCTCCACAAAGGTGGGCACGGTCCTCCCCATGGCAGCGTGTATAAGACAGCCTCGCCCAACCTTGAAACTGGGCGGGATGCAACACACGGGGCCCTGCAACACGCGATGGACAATGAGGCGCCGAGCCTTCAGACACTGACAACAACGACCCCAGTGACCAGCCAATGCGACGGTCGGAACAGACCGCCAGCGTGGGGGAAGGAAGAGGGGAGGAGAGGAGGAGGAGGAGGAGGAAGAAGAACAAGGCTGTCCCAGATGGCGTCGCCATACCGTCGTTGGCCGGGTTCAACGCCTCCACGCCTCGACAACGAGCGCCTGGCCGCGCGGGGCGCGGCGGCGCATGCTGGGCAGCCATGCCGTCGCGTGGCAGGCGGGAGGGCCTGCGTGGCTGTGCCTCCCGGGGCCCTGCCCTCTCGGCTGGGAGTGGCTCTGCTGCCCGGTGCCCTGCCTCCCCGCTCCTGGCACCCGGCTGCTGGACCCGGGCCCAGCGGGGAGCCCAGACCCCCGACGTAATGATTCTTTCACTGTATACGTCGACCCCCTGAGGTCCCGACCCTCTCCCCATGACCGGCTTTGCGCCCTGAGACGTTTTTTCACGCTCCCGAGGCCCGGCGTTGAAGGCCCCCGGAGGCCGAACATTAGGAAACACCTCCCGTCGTGATTGTTTCATTACTCGAGGGGGTCTGGGAGGGGTCCGCGGGAACCGCCGGCGACTGCGCCGAGGCTGGCGCGATGCCCTCCGGAGGGCCCGGCCGCCGCGCGGAGGCCGTCTCCCGCGGCGGGAGCGCCGGCCGAGGAAGGGCACGCGCTACGCCCCGCGGACCCCCCCCTGGCGGGGGCAGGCGCAGCTTGGCGAGCGGGAGACGCGCTCTCACAGCCCGCAGTGGAGGGCAGAAAGTCCACCCCAAAGACAACCACCCCGACACGCGAAGCCGCTTGGTAAAAGCACCCAAGGAAGGAACCTAGCAGGGCAGGGCTGTTTAGTAAACGCCCAGGCGCAGGGCGCACCCGCGCAGGCAGCCCCAGCGACAGCGCCCCCGCGCGGCGCGCCGCCACCGCCGGCTCCGGGCGCGCAGCCCCAGCCGGCGGCCCGCCCGCCGCAGGCGCACCGGCTGGCCCGAGGTGGGGACCGCCGCGCGCCACCTCGGCCTGCCCTGGGGGGCGGTGCCTGGCTGCGGCCCGCGGCAGGGTCGCCCGGCGTGTGCTGCGCCTTATATGGCGCCGCAACTCCTGAGCTCGCGGGTCTGGCCGGCGCCTCGTGGCGCGCGCCCGCTGGGGCTGAGCCCCCCGCGCTTTCTTACTCTTGCCATGGGGCTCCTCTTGCGCTTGAAAAAGGAATGCAATTCCCCTAACCATTTCGAGGAGAAAGAACTCCACCTCATCATCACCATCCTCCATTCCCCTTCGCAATCATCCATCTTCCCCCCACCTCCTCCTCCCCAGACGTCTGACGCTGTGTGATGTTGGTGACAAAGTGTACCGCAGAGGTCTGGACCCATTCTCGAGGGATCCCGAGCCATTTTTTGACGGCCCCGAGGCGGGCAAGGGCGTGGGTGGCGAAAAGGTCCAAAAACCCGCAGTGACTTCTCCCTGACGTGATGGGGCGGGGGCCCTACACCTCCTCCCTGGACTTAGGTCGGGCATGTCCTCCTACAGGCGGATTTTTGGACCGAAAATGAAAAGGAGTCAAAACATACTCCAGAAATTATCCCAAATAGTCAAAACATCGTCCCCAGACTATTTGTTTGACTATTGTTGAAATATTCCTCCTGTAGAGGGACATGCCCGACGCAACTCGGGAGCGCGCAAACATGGATTAGTGATCCATGGATTTGGCGAGCGGTCGCCAAATCCATGGATCGGGGGAGATGCCCTCCCCAGAATGCGGCCGGTGCCGCCTCGCTCGGCGGCGGAGATCCGCGATTTCCAAAATGGAAACGGGACCCGGCGCTGATCCACGCCCCCTTGATCCACGTGTTTGCGATCGCCTGAGCAACCCTGGACGGATTTTCCCGCCACCGCGCCCCCGGGCAATTCGCTCGGCCCCGCGTGGCTCGCCCACGGTGCGTCCAGCAGCACGTCGTCCACGTGCCGGCAGCCGAGCACGCCCAGCACCCGCTCGTGCATGGCCATGACGGGCCGGGGGGGGGCACGCGAGGTCAGCGCAGAATGTTGGCGGCGCGCACAAGGGGGTGGGGGGAGGGCGGAGGGCCTCTTAGAAGCACCTTGCTTCTTCGAAGGCGCCGGCCTTACATCTACAGGCAAGGCCCGCGCCTTCTAAGAAGCAGGCGTGCTTCTAAGAAGCCCTCCCCCCTCCCCCCACCCCCCTCTGCGCGTGGCTGAGACACGCGAGGTCAGCGAAGAATGGGAACAGCAATCACGACTAACGCAACAATTGAATCAGAGTGTTGTTTTCCTCGACTCGCAGATGCTGTCGTGATCTCTCTCTCTCTCTCTCTCTGGGTGGTTCGGTCCGGCTGGAGCTTCCAGTGTTTAAACACCTGTCGCTGCGATCGCGGATCCACGAACAGAAGTCGGCCGAACACATCCGTTTGGTCAGCGCATGGACTGGTGGTGGGCTCAAACTTGGCATCTTAACTCCTCGCGGCGTGGCAAAACAACAAACAACCGCATACTTTCTTTTCGTTCTTTACATACCACTCTTTGAGGTCCAGGCTGGCAAGCATGTTGCATCACCGATGAAGCGGCGATGCGGCGTGGTCCTCCGACCCCATCTGCTGCAGCTCCATTCGAGCAGCCTGGAATCTAGCCGCCTGCAAAAAATCCTTCAACAACAAAACTGAAGGAGTGGAGGTGACTAGCACAGGAGACAACAACATCCACAAAAACTCACGGAGGTCAATGTGGATTTCTCTGGCCGGCGCCAGACCCCCCGCAAGACCTGAGAGGAACCACAGATCCGAGGTGGTGTTTTTCTCACAACGTGGGCCAGGCGGGCCTCATACAGTCAAAACGTGTATTAAGGACGGGTGGCAAGGACGTAAGATCCTTGGAGACCGAAGCTGGGATTTTTGTTGGTGCGGCGGGCGACCACTGAAACCGGCAAAGAACGGGCCGCAGAGGCAAGGATACAAGGGCACACCAGATGAAGGCGCGCGTCCTTAGCAGTAAGTCGGGAACGTCCCTCTACAGGAGGAGTATTCATAAATAGTCCAAAAATAGTCTGGGGACGATTATTCTACTATTTTTGACTATTTTGGAGCATGTTTTGACTATTTTTGTTTTTTCATTCAAAATCCGCCTGTAGGAGGACATGCCCGACCTGACCTTGGCAGGCGCGCTGACCGCAGCACGGGGGCCCAAGACTGAGGCAGTGCACACATTTCTCGGGCCGGGCGAAAGGGGGAGATAGCAAAGGGGGGGGTTGAGAATCAGCTCACGCAGCTGACTTTCCCGGCGCCTCCCGGCGCCGGGAGGCGGCCATGTATCGAGGAATGGGCCCCTCAATGGGGCCGAAACCAGCTGTTTGCAGCAGATTTCGTAACCCCTCCTTTCTTGAGCGGGGACCGACCGTCCCAGCATTCCTGTAGTTCTACCACGGGATGTTCTTAGAACCCAAAAAAGTTCTAAGGACAGAAACAATGTTCTTAGAACATAAACCCGATGTCTTAAAACAAGACAATCTCAACCAGAAATGTTCTAAGAACATGTCGTGGAAACCACAAAAGGTGATTAGAACATCGCTTGGTAGGGCTATAGGCGAGCCAAGACGCTTCGCCACTGCTTGACTTTCCCTGTCCCCCCCTCTCGCCCGGCCCGAATTGCGGCCGCGCTCCGCCGGCGGACCCGCCGCGCGGACCCGCCGCCGTTTCCGCTCCCGCCGGCCTCCCGCACCAGGCTGTGCGCGCTGCCCCCTCCGGAAACGCCCCCCCGCGCGAGGCTCGACCTCTGGGCGGCAGCCTGCCGCACCGAGCACGCGTGAACTCGGGCGTGTCCCCCTGCAGGGGGATTTCGGACGAAACGCTTAAAAATACCAAGAAAATACTCCAAGATGGTCAAGACATGCTCATATAATAATAGTCCCCAGACTATTTTTTTACTGTTTCTGAATATTCCCCCCTGTAGAGGGACAGGCCCGACTTAAAGCATGCGCGAGCAGGCGCCGCGCCCGCTGCCCACGCAGCACCTCGGGGAGCTCCAGGGCCTCGCGGACGCCTCCCGCCGACCGCGAAGCCGCGGGCGCCCCGCAGCTGTGGGCAACTGGCACCACTCCCTGGTGCGCTGGTGCCCCGAGTGCACCCCCCCCAGCATGGGGTAGTTCGATCCCCTGTGCTTGTTCACGACCTCCGACGGGAGAGGAGCGGAGATAGGGCGACGAAATCTATACATATCCACTGCTCCCTGGCCAGGCCCATCCTCAACCCCGCAGCGGTGTATACGCCACGCCCTCCTGGCTTGGCCAGGAGGGCGCATACACAGCTCCTGGGTTCAAGATGGGCATGGTCAGGGAGCAGTGGATATGTATAGATCTCGTCGCCCGACGGAGAAGGCCGCACCCCGCACCAAAGACGCTCTTGTATATATACTGCCTCCATCGCCGCCAATGCCAATTCATCACAGTCAGATATGTCAGCGTGGCAGTGCAAATCCACGAGCGCGTGGCATGCCATGACCCATGCCACTGCCACTGCCAAGCGTGGCGAAACACAATCGACGTACTCAGCCAAGCTGCGCACAACGTATTCACAACATATGCACACCGTGACGTCTGGACCTGGACCTCCACTCACACCATCTTGGAGGCGGCCAGGGGTTCTGAACTGGCTGGCACACCAGAAAATCGGTCAGGAGGGAGGGGGGTGAGACCAAATCCGTTCTCAATCGGTCCCCCAACCTCTGCCGGGGTCCCATCTGTTGCATTTGTTCGCCATGGATCCGTACCCCTGGGCCCGAACACGACCCGCGGAGGCAGAAAAAGGAAAGAAAACAAACAGAAATGCCTTCCCGAACAGGAGGAGGAGGAGGAGGAGGAGGGGGAGGAGGAGGAGGGAGGAGCGAGGAGGAGGAGGGAGGAGCGAGGAGCGAGGAGGAGGAGGAGGAGGAGGAGGAGGAGGAGGAGGAGGAGGAGGAGGAGAGGGAGGGAGGGAGGAGCGAGGCCCACCCTTCCTGCTGGCCGGAACCGGTGCTGGGCACCTCGGACCCCCAAACGGCTCGAACTCCCCTCCTCGATCCTCTCCTCCTCGATCCTCCCCTACTACCCGAGCCTGCCCTCCTCGATCCTCTCCTCCTCGATCCTTGCCGCCCCGACCCTCCCGCCCCGCTCGGGGGCGCGAGATCAACGACTCCAACCGCCATCAACAAGGCCATCCTTCAAAGCTGCTTCAAAGCTGCGCAGACCTTCAAAACCGCAGAAACAGAAACTTTTGGAGGTCTGCGCGGATTTCTATGATCTGCGCCCCCTCCTTGGAGCGCGGAGCGCGCCAGTGGCGGCGACAGAGGGGGGTCCAGCGACGATCCAAAGAATCCGAGCAGACCTCAGAATTCTTATGCTTCTGTCATTGCTTGATCCCCTACCACCGTGGCGTCTGGACCCGGACCGTCAGTGGGACGCAGAATGACATACTCGTACTATGCGTCCTCGGAGGCGTGCGTCCGACCCGAACATACAGTAAAATCATCTTGTATTATACAGTTTTCTCAGCGGTATGGCCAGAAAGCGCCCGCCACGGAGCATATACTACAGGGCTTCTCGGCGGGCGCGTTGCCCCATGGGGCGACGTTCGGAAGAAGTGGGTAGAAACACGAAGCAGGAAAGCGTTGGAAGTGGATCGGGCTCCCGCCCGTCCCCCGAAGAGGAAGGAACAAGAAAACGCCCCCGATGACTGAAGCCGGAAGGCGCCAAAAATCAGATAGGGAGCCAGGAATCCAAAAATACCTACGGCAAGTTCGTGTCGTGTCGCCTTCGGCGTTGGTTTCTGACATCGCGGGGGTCGTTCGATATGGAACGATCGGTCTTTCCGAAACGGCCGATGGTTCCAGATCGACCGATTCTGGGCCGCCATCGGCGTTCAACCTTACACGCACGCGGTGGGGTCGCCGCCGGTCGGCACGACGCCAACCTGCCGTAATCAGTCGCGAACCTGCAAATCGTGGCCCGAGGAATGCGCGCGGACCAGGGGGGGGGGGTAGGGAACGCACTGGAATCAATAATAAGGAGAAGCGCCATGAAACGCTGGGGAGACATCATGGCCCCCTGCCGTGATATCCCCCAACCCCTAGTCGTCACCCCCCTCTTCTTGGCCGCCCCCGACCCCAGGGGGAGGGGAAAACGCAAGCCGCGGGGTCCACACGAATGGCCGGGCGGCGACGACGGCGACGGCGACGGCTGCGGCGGCGACGACGGCGACGATGGAGAGATCCAGGGGCCCACGCATCGACCAAAAATTCGAAGCGCCAGGCTGAAGGGGTCCGGGGACACAGAACTACATAGACACAAATAACCGGATCCCCCATATTTTCCCAGATTATCTGGGTCTTTGTCTTCCCCCCCACTTCCCATATTTAACCATATTTTCTGGGGAATCGACGATTCTTGTGTCTGTGTTTTTTCCCTCCTAACAGGCGCATGTCTGTCCTTGATCGCTGATAGAAGGGAATCGGCTACACGCAGGAGGGACCCTAGGCAAGAGTGACCTTTGGTGCGCGGCTTTGGGGGAGCACGGGGGGGCCAAGCCCGAGCGCGGAAGGCGCTGCTATCGCATCGCAGTCAACCATCTGGGGACCCCAGTGTGCCCACACCAAGGGTTACTCCAGCCAAAGGATCTGGTCCGGCGCGGATCCGAGAACTCCGCGCGGACCTCCAGGTTGTTCTGTTTATGCCATCGTTTGTCCCACAAGCATCAATCCTGGTTCATGATTGCCACTCCCCCTCTCCGTCCCTTTGCTTTCACAAGCCTCGCCAAGACTGAACACATGTATCGCGCGTGGTGGCCTCACAGCTCACAGAAAAACAACGGTCGTCGCCCTCCTCGTCGCCGGCGTCGCCAGCGCCCCAAGACTGCTGATGCTGCGGCTGCTCCTCGCCAACTGCATTATCATGCTGCTCGTCGTCACCACTGAATTCGTCCACCTCGATGACGATCACTAGGGGCCGCCCAAATAAGGTCGAATTAGAGTGGGTCGGTGGAGCCGCATAGGCGATGCATCAGGATGCGTCCGAGACGTCAGCGATGCATCGAAGACGTCAGCGGTGAGAAAATCGGGCTCCACATCGAGCCGCATCGGGGATGCGGCCCGAGACCCAAAGCGAGCTGTTAAAAACTTAGAAAAGGCTCCGCCTCGAGTTCCTCTGCATCTATTTCGACCCCGGCTGGGCGGCCTCGATCGATGCCGATCGCTCTGCTCACCCTTCCTGAGCAGACCGCGTCGGAGTGCACACCAACAATGAGCTTGTCGCCCAGTGCCTTGGCCCTCTCCAGCAGGGACGTGTGGCCCGCGTGGAACCTGGGCCTCCTCCTCTGTCACCCCCTCCTCCTCCTCCTCCTCCTCCTCCTCCTCCTCCTCTTCCTCCTCCTCCTCCTCCTAGGGATCGGATTTCGCCAAGTGCTTGACGAATTTCGAACCATACCCCATCCGCCCATCGATCTGCGAGGGTAGTGTTCGGATCTCGCCGCCGACTCCTGGGCCCCGCTGCGCAGCCCCCCACCGTCGACCCCCTGGTGGATAGGTTGGGGGCGATACGTGGGGAGGGGGGGAGGAAGGTGTCCTTCTTGGACCCTGGAGGCGCCCGTGGGGGCCCGAGAGGGCCCCTTCAGGGGCCCTGAAGGGCCCCTTTTCGGCAGCCCTCGCTGCCCCCCGTTTATCGCACCCCCTAACGCGCCGCCCCATTTCTAGAGGGCAGAAAATCCACCGCGATAATAACCACCCCGACACGCGAAGCCATTTAGCAAACGCGCCCAAAGAGAAGGAATCAAACAGAGCAGGGCTGTTTAGTAAACGCCCAAGGCCGTTTAGTGAACGCCAGCTGTCCGGTCCGGGTGTTTTTTTTTGAATTTCGCCGCCGAGTGAGGGCCCCAGGAGGCCCGAGCGCTGCCAAAAGCCAGCGCCGCGACCTCTCCCACCGAGAAAAAAAGGCAGGGACTCCCCCCCTCTCCGTGCGTGCGCACCGCCGCCTTCCGCGGGGCCCGCCGGGCACATATCGAACGCACCGTCCACGTAGACTCTCCGCACGGCGCCGGCCTGGCCGCCCGCGCCGCAGGGCAGCGCGCTGGGCAGCGCGGAGGAGAAGGCCCGCATCAGCTGGGAGGTCACGAGGAACTTCGAGCGCTGCGACACGAACATGCCCGCCTGGGAGGAGCGGGGCCTCCTCGCGTCGTCGTCGAAGGCATCCCGGGCGTTCTGTCGCCAGTTATTGAAGTAACGGAAGGGGGAAGGCTTCTTCGCAGGAGGCTGCTTCTTAGAAGGCGCTGGCCCTGGGTCTACAGATAAGGCCCGCGCCGTCTAAGAAGCAGGGTGTTTCTAAGAAGCCTTCCCCCCTTCCCCCCCTCCCCCTGCCCACCTCTGCGCGTGGCTGACCTCTGCCAGGACTTCCCCCCCCCGAGGCGCCCGTTGTGCTCCCCCGCCGTCCCCGTCGTCGCCACCGCCGCGTCCGCCGGCGCCGGCGTCGCAATCGGCTGGCTTCCCAACCTCGGGATGCGTTCCTGGGGTTCCAAGGGGTTGCCGATTCGTCGCGAGCGGCCGCCGGAGACCCGATCTGTGGCCCGAAAGCTGAAGTCCGCTCGTCCGATGGCTATCTTCGGGCTCCAGGGGCCCAGTGAGACACACACACACACACAGAGATAATAGACAAACCCAAGGACTCCACACATCTGCCGTATTCCATGATGTTCGACTTTCCCTCCACTTCCCATACTCTCCATATATTCTTGAAATCGACTCCGACGATTACGTAGCTGTGTCTGTGTTTTGACCTCTCCAGGCCTATGCCAGGCCCCGAAGCCGACAGAAAAAGATTCGGGATAGGGGTCTGGACCTCAGGGCAGCCACGCTGTGAAACAAACACAAAATCGGATGCCTGGGGATCCAGTATCGAAAATCGATGATAGTTTGTTGTTGGTTTCCCCAACACTCCTGTGTTGGCTTCTCGTTTTGCCCAGAGCACTGTTGTCCCCACCTCCTCCCTCCTCCCTCTCTTCCTGCGTTACTCCCTGGGAGGCTGCGAACTGCGCACCTGTCGCCACTTTCGCGGGCTCCTGGGAGGCACGGCGGAGGTGAGAGCAATTCAGATCCCTTTGAGACCTCGCGGCTCCCCCAGGGGGCCGCGAACTGCGTACCTGTCGCCACTTTCGTGGTCTCCTGGGCTGCACGGCGGAGGTGAGGGCAGCGCAGACCTCTTCGAGACCTCGCGGCTCCCTCGGGGGCTGCGAACTGCGCAACTGTCGCCACGTTCGCAGGGAGGCACGGCGGAGGTGAGGATCTTCAGGTATAATGCGTCATTTTAGTATACAGCGCTCATATACGTCATCGCCTCACGTGTAGAAAGGGTTAGAGACGTTTCGGGGAATTTCGATTGCCGTCGCCGTGCACATTTCTTGGAAGCCCTCGCCGCCGCGGGTGGATTTCGAGAGCTGCGCACGGCGACAGCACAATCGAACACCGACGGAACCGACAGCGAAACCGATCGAATTCGACAGCCTGCAGGCAACCTGGAAAGGGAGCAACGACGAGTCGCAGCAGCCGACCGAACCGATCGCGACGCAACCGACTGCGATGCAGCCGAACCGACCGAGCCGTGGACCCCTTGAGGACCCAGGGTCGAGGATCTAGGTTTCTGATATGTCTTGTTCTGAGGAACGGGGATCAAAGGATGCGAGATAGAGGTCCCTGATGTCTCGCGCTCTCAGGCTTTGGCCGTGGATCGAAGATCGAGGCTTATGAATCTGTTTGCTCCACTGGCTGGACTTCCTGAAGAGCCCCATCGCCGCTCTGAGGCCCGGGGCCAAGACTTTCGGGGAACACGACGAGTTCCAGAGGCGGCCAGCAAGGCAAAACCCACAGCAAGGATGCACGGTGGTGATGCGAGGCCCTTGGAAGTCCCGTTCACCACCTGGAGCTCCTTGGACGCCAGCATGGGCTCAGGATCGGCCGACCGAAGCAGGGGATGCCGGGGCAGCCTTGACGAAGCATCGCATCCCTACTGAAAATCGTGTAACCGATCCCCATCCCCAACGGCGTGGCCTGGGCCCCACTGGCCGATTTACCCCCCTGACCCTTCGGGTTTCGAGGGGTGTATCCCAAACTAGGGTGGTAATTTGGTGGGGGTCTCGAGGGGGATGGGGATGGGAATGGGAATGGGGATCGGCTAAAAGATACTGACCTGCTGCGCATTTTGACTGCATGCAACCACCGCATTTTGACTGCATGCAACCCGCAAATTGGCATTGAAACGTTATGTCCACGTTGGGACAACTACTTCCTACTTGACACTACGTTGAATATACTTTTCCCCAAGTGCAACTACTACTCACTACTTTTTCTATATGTTGGAAAGCTACCTTCTCCTACTTTCTTCTATCCCATATCGATCAACATGGCTGGTTGCTGTCTAGGGTTCGTTGTCACAAGCCTGGAGGCCCGATCTCCCGGAGCCCAGGCCCCCGCCGGGGTGCCACACGCCCGCCCGCGGAGGGCAACGACGGCACCGACGGCGGGCTGAGCCCGTCGTGCCGCAGGTCGTCCACAGCGTTGGGAGGCAACTGCTGGGAGGTCTTCGTCGGAAGGATTGAGGAGATGAGGAGGAAGAGGAGGAGGAGGAGGAGGAGGAGGAGGAGGAGGAGTAGGAGGAGGGGTGTGAGAAGGATGAGGAAGAGGGAGAAGGCGGAGAAGGAGGAGGAGGAGGATTGGCGCCTCTTCTTCTTGACTATGGCTGGGCGGCTGCACGAACTGGTGGGCAGAGTGCGACAACAGAACCCCATGCTGAATCATGCGTCTTCGTCGTAAGGATTAGGGAGGATGAAGCCCCATTGGGCGGCTGTTACGCTGGACTGGGCCTCGGATCAAGCGGGATCAAGCAGGATTTCGGACCAGGGCAAACTCAGAATTTGACTCCCAAGGAGTTGCATCCGAATGGATCTGGACGGAATCACGCAAGCACACAAGTAAGCAGACCCGCCCGAACTGTAACTACATAGATGTGGATTGCCGCCCCTTCTTGTTGACTATGGCTGGGCGGCTGCGCGAACTAGTGGGTAGAGGGCGACAACAGAACCCCATGCTGAATCATGCGTCTTCGTCGGAAGGACTGAGGAGGACGAAGCCCCACTGGGCGGCTGTTACACTGGAGTGGGCCTCGGATTAAGCGGGATCAAGCGGGATTGTAAGCGGGATCAAGCGGGAGTGAGCGGGATCAAGCCAGATTAAGCCGGATTTCGGGCCAGGGCAAAATCAGAATTTGACCTCCCAAGAGTCGCACCCGAAACAACGGGATCGTGGAGGCGCACGTTTCCTCAGCCTCCCGAGGTCCAGGGAGGTCGGTTCCCCAGGTATTCCCGCGGCCGCCCTCCCACCCTGGACCCTGAAGTCGTCTCCTGGACAGTCAGGCATAGGCAGCGTGGCCGACGGGAAACGCAGGACCCCTCCGCTCCCACTGAGCCCCACCAACATGCCTCTACTGCTGGCCGTACCCGCACTGGCGCCTCTTCTTCTTGACTATGGCTGGGCGGCTGGTGGGTAGAGTGCGACACCAAGCCCCATGCTGAATCAAGTGTAATCTGCATGCTGAGCTGGATATTAGGAGGCAACTACTGGGAGGTCTTCGTCGGAAGGATTAGGGAGGATGAAGCCCCATAGGGCGGCTGTTACGCTGGACTGGGCCTCGGACCAAACGAGATCAAGCAGGATTTCGGACCAGTGCAAAATCAGAAGTTGACCCCCAAGGAAAGGCATCCGAATGGATCTGGACGGAATCACGCAAGCATACAAGAATGCAGACCGGCCCGAACTGTACATAGATGTGGATGATGGTCCCCGATGCAGCGGGGAGCAAAGGAGACGTAGCGGAAACACCGTGGCCGAGAAAAGTAAGGAAATCACATAATGCTGCTCAACACCGTTCACCTCCAAGACGAGACGATGAGCCTGAACAGACGCGCGACAAAAAACAATCGCAGCCTCCCCCTCGTCCTCCTCGATGATGGACTCGTGGTGGTCGCTGGTGAGAAGCAGCAATCGCCCTACAATCTCCGTCGTGGAGATGCCTTCGGTCCTCAATTTTGCTCAGTGTGAGCAGGCGTCGCAGCGCAGCAGCAAAAGATGATGGTCAGCGTGCTGAAATGCAAATAACAACTATAGCAAAGAAGGATGCGTCTCATCCAGCCTGTCCTTGTTATCTACTCGGCTTCGTCCTCCTCGTCGCCACCCTTGCGTTTCTCGTTGTCCTCGTTCCTTCTCGTCCGAATTGCTCGACGGACTTGTCGAGCAACTTCTCGTGAACGGCCCAAGTTACTAACGTTTTGGCGACCTTCGCTTGAATGGCTCGGTTTGAGCCAGCGTCGCGGTATGTTGGTGCGAACTCCTGACTTCAATCCTTCACTGTGGCCCCAAGGGACCAGCCTTTCTGATGTTTGTTTCCATCAGGAGCGCGTTTCTTGATGTTTGGCGACAATGGGCGTTATAGGGGGGTGGGGAGGGGACGGGGGGGGGGTATAATGTAACGCCCCCCCCGCCCCCCCGGCGTGTGGCTCGGGCACCGCCCGCAGCCCGCGCGCGCGACGACGACGAGCGACGACGACGACGACGACGCGAGCAGCATGTAGGTGGCGACCTGCCCACAACGCCCGTGTACACCACAGTGCTCGCGTACTCCACAACGCGCGAGTACACCACAAAGCCTGCGTATAACGCAACAGCCGTGTGCGACGCAGCGCCTTTGTACACCACAGTGCTTGCGTGCACCACAGCGCGCGTGTACACCACAGCGATTGTGTAACACCACAGTGCTCGCGTGCTCCACAGCGCGTGTGTACACCGCAGTGCCTGCGTACACCGCAACAGCCGTGTGCGACGCAGCGCCTGTGTACACCACAGTGCTTGCGTGCACCACAGCGCGCGTGTACACCATCGCGATTGTGTGACACCGCAGCAACCATGAGCAACACAGCGCGTGTGTACACAACAATTCTTGCGTGCACCGCAGCGCCTGTGCACACCACAGCGCATGTGTACGCCAAAATGCTCGCGTGCACCACAGCGCGTGTGCACACCGCAATGCCTGCGTACATCGCAACAGCCGCGTGCGACGCAGCGCCTGTGTACACCACAGTGCTCGCGTGCACCACAGCGCCTGTGTACACCCGGCGCTTGTGCACACCACAGCATCCGCGTGTACGCAGCGCCGGTGTACACCACAGTACGGCGTGCGTGCAGAAGACAGGTAGAACGAGCATGTAGGTGAGGATCTGCTGCGGACAACTCAACGCCACGCCAGAGAAGTGCTGATACTAGAATGCGACGTTCTTCCCTCCTCCCTCCCACGCCACTTCCACCTCCACTTCCTCTTCCTCCGCCTCCTCGTCCTCCTCCTCCTCCTCCTCCTCCTCCTCCTCCTCCTCCTCCCCTCCTCCTCCTCCTCCTCCTCCTCCTCCTCCTCCTCCTCCTCCTCCTCCTCCTCCTCCTCCTCCTCCTCTCCTCCTGCCCTATGCGGATCCCCATGATATTCCAAATGCGGACCAGGCTCCTGTGCGGACTTCTACGCGGACGCCGATGCATGGAGATCCGGACGCGCACGGCGGCTGTGCCCGGAGCGCACCAGGGGGGCGGGCGTTGCGTTATAGGGGGGGCGGGGAGGGGCAGGGGCTGTAATGCCCATTGTGCCCATCATGCCCCACGCCCTCACAACGCTCTCAAGGCAAATACAGTCCGGACAGAGCAGCACGAACGCGAGGGGGGGACAGCGGGGCCCCGTAGAAGTGGCATGAAGGCTACTTCGGCGACCTCCACCGCCCTCTCCCCCAGTGTAAGAGTCTGAACTGAGGCACTCGGAGGGAAACTGAACCTAAACAGCGAAGATGCCAGTCCGAAAGGATGGTAAACATTCGCTGTTGAGAACGACCACAGAGCTCTGCAGCCTCGAATTCTGCGACCGTTTGGAAGCCAACTCTCGCAGAAAATGGCCAACGCCCTTCAAGGCGTTGCCCTCCTCCTCCTCCTCCTCCTCCTCTTCTGCCTTTTCGTCCTCGTCCACTTCCTCGTCCTCGTCGTCGTCTCTCTCCTCACCTCCCCTCGCCCCGACTCGGGATCCCCGAGTCTGGCGAGAAACAAAAGCAGGCGGCATCGGAACTGGAGCAATCTGCCGCGCGCGTACGCGCGGGGCTTTCGGAAGTTTCTAGGGAAGCTTCTCGGACGATGCTGCAGCACAGCTGGGCCAAAAAGAGATGGGGGGGGAGAGGGCGGATACCCGCTCTGGCTCTCAGACAGACGCAGTTGGGTTGTGTAAACAGCCAGGGAACAAACAGATTCCTGCACGACGCAGCAAATCAGCAACGGTGCATTATCCTCTCTTCTCCACTCTCTTCTCTCTCCTCCACCTCCTTCTCTCCTCCTCTGCCACATTTTTCTTCTTCCTGCGTCCTACCCCTATGGGGCACTGCCGCCCCCTGCTGCCCCGCCGAAGCGCAGACCTGAGTGCAGGGGGCGGCCTGGCGCGGCCAGGCCGGCACGCCGCTGGCGGCGACGCCAGCGTCCTTCGGGTGGGCGAGCCCAGTGCTTCACCGTTGGCGACCACGCGGTGCGCTTCGGCCCGCCGACTCCGTCGCCGCGGCATCCCGCTTCGCCTCTGCCATGTACGCCACCGCTTTGTTGACGTCTTCGTTGCAGGTGTAGCCCGCGTCCCAGTCCCAGCTTGGGTCCCATGCCATTGCCCCCCGCCGCCTCCTCCATAGAGGACCCCGGGCGTCCAATACTGAAAAGGGATGGCCCCTGCCTTCAGATCGGTGGCATGTCCGTGCACGTGCGTGCACGTGCACTTCTCCAGCTGATCCGGTCCAGGGACATTCAAAATGACCTTGGCATGGGTGCTCCAGTTTGGGCGAGGGCGCCGACTTGCACCGCGTGTGGACCGGGGGGCCGCGCCTCTAGAAGTACGCAGTAGCACACATGGTCCAGGTGATGAAAGCGCGGCTCGACATAGTTGATCCAGTACGCGTCCAGGCCACCGATGTAAGTGAAGAAAGCGTTGTGCATGTTCTCAAAGATGAGCTCCTAGGTAGCGTCTTTCGACCTGTGCCGTGACCATAGCGACGACCATCGAAGCGGACCAAGATGACCCCGAACTCGATGCAATTCCCCGAACAATAAAAGAACCTCTGCCTCATAGTGGCCATTGTGTATGGCCCAGAAGTCGATCAGTCTTACGGCCGCCCAGCTCCTCCATGAAGGTAGGGATGTTGTAGGCGTGGGCGAAGTGACCGCTCTCCATGTCGATTGCGCCCTCGGTGTTGCAGCCGATTTGCGTGGCGTTCCAGGTCGGAGACACACACCCGAGGAATATCCACGCCTTCCGCAGCTTGCCCCACAACACTGCGAATTCGTAGATTTGGGGCTCGATTATGAGGCCGCGCCAGCCGGTGAGCTCGAGCACTAGCGTGTAGCCGTTCGTCTCGCCATCCCCGCCGTGGGTGTCCAGGTAGAAGCGTTCTCGAGCACCTGCGTTATGCGCTCGACGTCCTGTCAGGATCTGCTGAAGGTCTGGATGTTATCCCCAGTCTCCAGGCTGCGCTCGACATAGTGTGGGGACGTCGAGCATGGGCATGGCCGGCTACTCGTAGAGCGTGGAGTGGCTTCGAGTCGCCCCGCACGCCGGAGCCCCCGCCCTGCCCCCCGCCCGCCCTCTGGAACTCGTCAGACGGCCGGAACTCGTCGCTGCCCAGGAGGTCCTGGTTCGAGCTCACGGGCAGGCTGGCGCCACCATGAGTGTGCCTCGACTCCTGCCATGCCCGACGGACGACTCCCGGCGGGATGATCACGGGCCTCCTCGACGAGGCATTCTCGAGACAGCGGAAGAGAACCAGGGCCTCCCGCGACAGGGTCGAGCTGCACCCGTCAGCCTTGCCGCCCGCGTGCCGGGCGTCCGAGCGGAGGGCGATGCCCCTGGCCGCGGGGGCGCACAGTGCCAGTAGCAGCAGGGCCACCGTTGCGCCGATGGAAGTGTGGTTGAACTACTTTCTTACGTATGGCAGATAGAGCGCTTGCTGCGCCCGAGTTGGCTTGAGCCGAACCCCCAGGGGACCTGCTGAGAGCCCCGAGCTGGAATCCCGAGTCGCTCTTCGACAGCCCGGGGACCTGCCGAAAGCCCCCCGTGGAAGCCCACAACGGCCAGACGATTGCCGTCATATGATGTCTCGCAACGCGAAGAGCTGCGGCTGTCGAGCTATGTCTCGGGTCTCCAGCGGCCCTTCGCGGCATCTGGGCAAGCCCAGGACGCTCTGGGCGGGGCGCAGCTGCAGGAGAGCACCCCGAGGCCGGAGAGCCTCCAAGAGCCGACAGAGAGGCGCCGAAGAGTTCGAAGGGCGACGCGAGGAGGTCAGGGCCCCCCTCGCCCTCCTCTTCACCCTGCCCCTCCAGCTCCCCTGTCCTGCCCTCATTCTCTCCTGGGCGCCCTTGCCGACCTCGCCGGGGCACGACACTGTGACGAGAGCGCGCGCGCCTGCCTCCCACGGGCCAGCACGTGGCACGGAGAAAAACATTCTACACCACCGGGCCTCCCATGAACTCCTCACGTCGTGAAAAAGAAAGAAATAAGAAAGAGGAGGAGGAGGAGGAGGAGGAGGAGGAGGAGGAGGAGGAGGAGGATTCCACGCTTTGCTCTGGCTCTTGCAGTTCTCTCGCCTCGTGACGCCGTCCGGCAGCTGCGCCTCGCCGCGGCGCTCTTGGGGCGCCCTGGATCGCCGCGAACGGCCTCCGAGAACCCTGGGAACCCAGCCTCGAGCATGGGTCGAGGCTGCTGGTGCTTCTGCTGCTCGGGGGAATTCCTCGAGGGCGCTCGCCAACGCGGGGATGGACCCCCAGATACGAGACCTATGTTGCATCACAGCAGCAATTCGGCCCCAGACTTTCGTCCTGGGTTCGGTTTAGTGAAGTGATGGATTTCGGGGTCCGTACATGGGAAAAAACATCACTTCACTAATCTGGGGCCCCTGGGGCCTGAAGGGGCCCTTGGGCCCAACATTAGTGACGTGATGCTTTTCGGGCCTCGGACCAGAGCCCTTCGCGGCGACGGTGCAATCGAAAACCGACAGGACCGAGCGCGGCGCCGAAACCGACCGGCATGGAAAGCAGAACACGACGTCGGCAGTCTGGGTCTCGGCAGCGGTTCAGACTTATCCTGCGGCTGACGCGCTGCACGCACGAGGTCAGTGGCACACGGGCCTGTGCGTTCCACCAGGATCGACCCGATCCCTCTCCCGCCACCCCCGTTGCCTCTTCCTCCTCACTCTCATCTCATCGGACAGCGCGTTCCCCTAATCTCTTACAGGCTCACTACAGATGGTGTGTCGGGACACCCTCGTCGGAACATGGCTCTTCATTTACAAGCTCGCAATCCCGTAATCTCTCACAGGACCACTCCAAATGGTGTCGGGACAGCGTGGTCGGAACATGGTTTTCATCTACAGCCTCACAATCATGGATCCAGCGAACGGAAGGATAGAGCAAGGGAGGACGCGTGAGAGCGGGGGAAGAGGGAGGAGAAGCGAGAAGAGAGAAAGGAGTAGGGTCTGGGGACGCAGGGAGACCGTAAAGTGGGAGTGGATGGCATCTAGTCGAGACGTGTCGATGAAGGCTGCTGGAACAGGACGAGCACCGTAACGAGGATGACAGCAAAGCCATATGAACAACGAAAAAACAAACGCGTCATTCGCGATACTGTATAGCGACCTTACGCGATGGCTCACCCAGGCCCAGCGCGGAACGCTGCACTGGAGACGAGGGCGCGTACGCGCGACCCTATGCGGGCAACTTAAGCGCGAATGTCAGCGCGGTCGGCCCGGTATTCTTGCGTCGCCCATGTGCAACTGGAGCGAGCTAGAAACTGAAAGATGCACCGCGAAAGCAGAGACGGTGACGCCTGGGATGCTGGGCTGGGACTTCCTGGCGAAGTGAGCGAAAGGAAGCGGACACCCCCGCGAACAGACGACCGAGTGAGGCGAGCCCACCCCAAAGACTCGCAGAACACGACGTGCGAGAGAGCGACCGCGGAGGCGTGGAATCGGCGGCGCGCTGGGCAACAACGGCCTGAAGCAGGGAAGGAGTAGGACAAGGAGCGGGAAAACCCTAACCTCCCCGCGGCGTGGCAGAAACCACGACGGATTGCGTGTTGGCGAATCTCTGCCTCGGGGGGGCCCTTGAGCCCTGTCCGCGCCCGCGGACCTTGAACAGGGACCGACCGTCCTGGCATTCCTACCTACCGCGAGATGTTCTTAGAACCCAGTAGTGTGCTAAGAACAAGAACATTGTTCTTAGAGCATAAACCCGATGTGTCAAGACAAGACAGTCCCAGCCAGAAATGTTCTAAGAATATTTCGCGGAAGCCACAAAAGGTTTTGGAACATTGTTTGGTAGGCCTATGGGCACGCCAGGACGCTTTGCCACTGCTTGAGGACCGTCAAGACATGATTCGACACGAGGGGCCGGCCTCAAAACAGGGGTCCAGACCTCTATGGAGTGAGTCCCCTGAAGAGGCGTGACAATCCCCCGAAGAGTCCCAACTCCTGCTTATGCTTCGCGTGACCGCTGGGCAGCGAGCGCATGGACACGAGCAGCAGAACTGACCGAATCGTTAACGTGATGGGGGAGTGCCAATCTATTCGTGGGGAGGAGGAGGTGGGGGAGGAGGGGGAGGAGGAGGTGGGGGAGGAGGGGGAGGAGGAGGAGGAGGAGGAGGAGGAGGAGGAGGAGGAGGAGGAGGAGGAGGAGGGGGAGGGGGAGGAAGAGAAATGGATGGATGGCAAACTGGAAGTACCTCAACTGGGCGACGCATCGATGCAAAGCCCGGCGGGTCCTCGGGACCGTCTGGAACTTGCCCGCGAGCTTCGCCGCCTCGTACACGTCCTTTCCATCCACGAAGCACGGGTCGTCCCCGTGAACGAAGAAGTCGATGCCTCCGAATACTCCCGTCGCCGAGAGGTGTGACTTGTGAAGCAGCGAAGATCGTGACAATCAAACGAAGCCTACAAAGCCGCGGGTAGGAACGAGGGGCCAGCCCTGGTGTAGAGGGCAAGGCGGTGTGGCAGAGGTGGGCTGCGAAGGTAGGACAGAAAAAGGGGACAATACACACACACACACCTATATATATATATAATAAACTGAAATCGCTCGGCGTGGTGCTTTTTGTTCGTGGCTCTCTAGAGGTCTGGACCCCCCCGTGAATCAATTGCTCATCCAATGTGTTATGCTGAATAGAAAGAGTGCCACGGAGCGAAAAGGGCCGGCGCACAGGGCGCATGAGAGGCCTTGCGCAATGGGCTTGCCTTTACTATGATTAGTAGGCGCCTCCTCCTTTGACGAACGAACAGCACACGCCCATACAGTCAACCCGCAGAGTAAGGATGCGCGATAAGGATGCAAGGGCCTTGGACACCCATCTCGAAGCTGTTCGAGCGGGGCGCGGCCAACGAAGGTGTCCAAGGATGGACCCAGGAAGCAAGGACGCAAGGGTACCCTTGGGAGGGATGCCTATCCTTACTCTGCGGGGCGACTGTACCATGGGGGTGTCGTTGGGATGAGGACTGGCGGTGGGTATGGGTGCGGGTTGTCAGACCCTGGGGAACGCTCCCGTTCGAGCGGGGACCCCCATCCGACAATACGCACCCAGAGCCCTCTCCGACTCCCCTGTGGGTATCGGTGTGTGTTGCTGATTCGTCATCCTTCTCCTGCATCAGTACACGCGCGCGGATCCGATGCCAAACGCATTCTCACAAGAGCCCTGCACAAGGCGCACAACGTCTCCCAGACGAGACTCGCTCGATCACCTTCTGTTCAAAACAACAATTACTACCGTTGGCGATACTGGGCCCAATGAAAACCCCACAGATGTCGAAAATTGCCAAGCCCCATCAGCTCTGTTTATTCCACCGCGGACGTCGGTCACGGGCTGATGCGACTCTGGCGAGGGGCGCCTAGCAAGGCTGCGGCAAATGGATCGTGGGCCTCGACCAGGGCCAACTGGGGGGAGGGGCGAGCGAGATTGGCATAGAGTAAAGGGTCCCCAGGGAGAAGGGGTCCTAATTAGACTTAGGTCGGGCATGTCCCCCAACAAGCGGATGTTAAAAGACCAATCAAACATAGTAGAACAAATTCGAAAATAATCGAAAATGCTAGAAAAGTCGCCCCCTGACCATACTGTACTATTATTGAATATGCCTTCTGCAGGGGGACATGCCCCATTTAATCCCAGACTCTAGAGCTTCACCCCCGGGGCGAGGTCTTCATCCTGACAAATGTTTTGACGGTCCCGAAACCCAGGGAGGGCCCTGGGAACCTCAAAACCCGCTCGCGTCATGGCGATAGAAGGGGAAACAAAGGCACTACCCCAACAAGCGCCCCAAGAGCAGCTAGGGTTTGGGGCTTTCCAGATGTCCCACATTTGCGAACGATAAGGATAATATGTCTGACGGTGGTTATGATGATGATGCTGATGATGGTTATGACGAGTCTCCGGCCTTGTACAGGCACATACGTGAAACACATCGAATTCAAACCACAGGAAAGGGGCAATCCATAGACACATGCGTGAGAACCCACACGATTCGAGCCACACGGAAAGGGCAATAGATCGGAACACGTGCAAAACAGATCACGTTCGAGCCCATCGAAAAACAAGAAAACCCTGCGCACATATGCAAAGTCAAACGCGTTCGGCTCGAGCCACAGGACAGGGGCAGGGGCAATCCATAGGCAAACAAGAAAACATATTGGATTCGAGCCAAAGAAATGGGAGGGGTAAGGCCTCGGAAGCTCGGGAGCCAAAAGGTCAATATCGACATTGGATACACAGAAACTTCCGAAGTTCCGTCCCTGTGCCCAGGGGGGCCCGGGAAACCCAGGGGAGGGCTGCCCAAAAGCCTAAAAGTCAACGAGCCGACACGGGATTCAAATCAACTTCCGACGTTCCGTCCAGGCGCCAAGGAAGGTTTGGGAGGCAAAAGATCAACGACCCAGCACAAACTACAAATAAACTTCCGACGTTCTGTCCCGCGGCCTGGGGAGGACCCGGGAGAAACATGGGGATTCGAGCCACAGACGGGAGGGACAATCTATAACCGCACACGTAAACACGCAAGTTTCGAACCCCAGGCCACGGGCAATCCATAGGCACATACATAAGACGCTCAGGTTTCGAGGCACACGTAAAGGGCAACTTATAAACACATACGTGCAACACACGCGATTCGAGCCACAAGAGGGAGGGAATATATAGGCACATACGTAAAACAAAAAAACAACCGACAGGGGAAAGGCGCGTAACACACAGGATTCGAACCACATAAAAGGGCAATCGATACGCACATAAGTAAAACACACGTGATTCGAGCCAAAGGAAAAGGGCAATCCGTAGGAACACGACTGAAACACGTAAGATTCGGGCCCCAGCAAAGGGGGCAATCGATAGGCGCATACTTAAAACTCAGAGGATTCGAACCACAGGAAAAACGGCAATACTGCGATACGCACACGAACCACAGGAGAAAGGGTGCGAGGACTAGGGAGGCCTAGGGGCGCCCAGAGGCTGAGAAATCAACGAATCGACGCCAAAAACAAATAACCTTCCGACGTGCCCAGGCGAAAACCGCCCAGAGGCCAAAACGTTAACGAACCGACACAAGTAAACGTTCGATGTTACATCCTGGGGCCCAGGGAAAAGCCTGGGGAGACACGTAGGATTGGGGCAACAGGAACAGGGAATCGAGAGGCACATACATAAAACGCATGGGTTTCGAACCGCAGGAGGAGGCAATGCGTAGGCAAACGCATGAAACGCACAAGTTTCGAGTCGCAGGAAAAAGGCAATACATAAGCTCATGCGTAGAAAAAACATCGGGCTCGAGCCGTGGGGGAAGGCACTCTTTTAGCACATGCACAAAGCGCGCGTGCAATATTCGAACCACAGGGGAAGGCCAATCCGTAGGCGCACGCGCTCGCGTAGGATGCGAGCCGCGCACGCGCGCGCGTAAAGCGAACAGAATTCGAGCCCCAGGAGAAGGGCAATCTATGCGCACGTATGTACAAGACATCAGATTCGAACCGCGGGAGAGCGCTTTCTATAGGCGCATGCGCACCACGCATCAGATCGAGCCACAGGCGCGGGCCAATCTATAACAACATATTTGAAACGCACGGAGATCGAGCCGCAGGAGAGGGGCCTTCGATAGGCACAACTGTGAACCGCCGAGAACTCGAGCCCCAGAACAGGGGAATTGCTTTAGGAACGTACGTTGACGCAAATACATACGAATTCGACCCACATTTTTTCCACGATAAACCAACGGCGCACTGCGTGCCGCTCCGCCCCGTCCACGACCACGACCGCGTACCCGAAAACGAACAGCGCTTCGCCGCGCCTTGGGCGCTGCCCAGCTGCCGCGACATCTCGAGGAGCGTCGCCACGGCAGCGTGGCCTCCGAAGCTGCGAGCCCCGCCGCCGAGGACTAGGTCGGAGCGGAGCCAGACCCCCGAAAGGCGGCAACTCGCTAGGGCGAGGACGTAGTGCGGCAGCACTCGGTCCAGCATGCGCTGACGCTCCTGGCACATGGCCTCCGAGGGCGGAACGCTGCGCGGAACGCTGCGCGCGGAGCAGGATGGCGTCGGCGGCCTCGCGCAAGTCCTGGCGCTCGTCGGGGTGCAACGCAGCAAGCCCCCCCGCGGGCAGCGCCAGGCGCGCCGCCTCCGGGGGGCCCACCGCCGCCGCCGCCGCCACCGCCAGGGAGCCGCCGCCGCCTCGGCAGGCGGGCTGAGGCCCGCGCCCGCCGCCGCCGCCGCCGCCGCCCGCATTCATGGGCCGCCGCCGCTGGTTGCCGAAGCCGCGTCCTCCGCCGCCGGCGGGGAGGCGCGCGCGCCCTCGCCGTCGCCGCCCAAGGAGCCGCCCATCGCGTCGTCGTCGCCGTCGACGCCGCCATGCGCAGCTCCTGCAGGCACTCCGTCAGCAGGATCGGCGCCCTGCAAGGCATGTCTGCGCGCGGCGGCAGGACCAGCGGCAGCCGCCGCTGCCCGCCGCTCCGCCAGTCGCGCGCGGCGCCTGCGGCGCCTCTCCTGATCCTTCACGTTCTCCACGCGCCCCTCGGCGGGCGCCGCAGCCCCAGCAGCGGCAAGCGCAGCCGTCTGCGCCGCGGCCGCCAGTTCGGCAGCGGCGATCGCCGACCGCGCCACCGCCGCGGCGGTGCGGCGCGGCGCCGGGGCGCAGATCGCAGCACCGACGGCCGCCTCCATGACGACAGCAGCATCGGCGGCCGCGAGGCTCCCCCTAGCCAACGCGCCGCGGCGGCCATCCCGCGGACGGCGGCCGAGGCAGAAGGCATGCAGTCGCTTGAGCCAAACTTGAACAAAAACATCTTGAGCCAAAATGGCTACGGAGAATTCGGGCCACAGGGAAGGGGCACTATAAAGGAAAACATGTAAATACACATAGGAGTCGAGCCCCAAGAAAAAACTAAATCGATAGGTACATCCGCGTTGCGATTCGAGCCCCAGGAGACAGGCTATCTACAGGAGCGTATTGCAAATACACACGTTTTGAGCCACAGTAGAAAAAAACACTATATAGGAACATGCGTCAACTACATCGGACTCGAGTCCACGCAAAAAAACATGCCTGGCGAAATCTTGCTGAACCACCATGGTGAGTCGCATTCCTAAGCCAAATCGAAGCAGAACACCATTGTGAGCCCCACTTCTGAATCTGCGAGGGCTAACATCGAGGTGAAACGTTTTGGGAATCGCATGTCTGAACCAAATCAAGGCAGAACACCGTAGTGAGGGCTGCTGGCAGATTCCAGACCGCGCCGCCGGACCATAGTGAGCGCCAGAACATCATAGTGAGTCTCAGCTCTGAGCCAAACGAACCAGAACACTACAGCGAGCCGCCAGTCTGGACCAAATCGAACCAGACCGCAGAAATGCATGCTGCCAGCAGATTCCGGGCCGCGCCGCGGGGCCGGTGGGACGCCTCCCCCCGGCCCCCCTCTGGGGAGATTCTGGTGGGAGAAATCTTCGATCTCTCCAGCGAAACGCTAATAAGGAAGAAACAAATGAGCAACGATCAAGAACGGCTCTTATGCGAGATGACGTAGCGACCTGATGCGGTGGCTAACGCGGGCCGCCCGCGCGGCACGCAACGTTTGAAGCGAGGGCGCTTACGCGCGAGCTTACGCGGGCAGCTTACGCGCGAATGTCGGCGCCGACGACCCCGCTGTCCTGCGTGACTAGAATGGGATCTGCGCTGAAACCCCCTCCTAAGGCACGCGCAGCACGCCAGGGGCGGCGCCGGAGGAGCCGCCAGAGGGGCCCACCGCCGATCCAAGGAGTCCGCGCAGAGCTTGGAGGCGTATGATTAATACGGTTCTGTATTCCTCGGGGCGAGCTAGGAGCACCCGGCATTGGCGCAACCCAGGGGCAGACGAGGCTTCCAGGGCCAAGTTGGTGGCCAGCGGGGGGCTCACGATATGGCAGACGGCGGCGGCGACGCTCGAGCCCAGATTATCAGGATCACGGGCCGCTCGGCCGACACCGTACTCCGCCAAGGACAGGACGACGGCCAGTGGGAGGACCCGCCAAGAAGGCCAAGGGAGGGGCGAGAAGGGGGGGGCGGACGACGAACTGCGAATCACAGAAGCAAAAAGGCTCCGAGCTCCAGAACACAGCTGCGCACGGAAAAAACGGTCCTTCGACCAGCCGCCCCCAGGGAGTCCCAGATCAAGGGCAAAGGAACCACCTCATCATATAAAAACGACAAGCGATGCCCACTAGCAAACACGCCCAGGAAGGGATCGACCAGGGCAAAGCTGTTCTGTAAACGCCCACGACTTCTCAGTAAACGCCAATTGTGAGGGTCAGGGTGGATTGTCTTCCCTTGGCTACAGCAAGACCAAGGATACCTCCCCGAACCGACCTCCATCTTATACCTCGGTCCGACCGGATAGGACGTCAGACACAGGTTCACCCGAGGGAAGAATGCGAGGCATCTCCGCAGCATGACAGAGCGGGACAACCTGGGGAGCGCAACCGCAGGAGAAGCTGAGAGGCAGAAGCCGCACGCGGCCGACCCATGCCGCGTCAGACCCAGACGCTGGTGATTGACACCGCGTAAGTCGCTCAATCCTGAGAGATCCCCGCGGCGACCGCTCGATGTTGGCTACGACACAAACATGAATACACAGACGCCCTCCGACAAACTTTGCATGTACTGGCGGTTACAAGAGGCACGCGTGCCAAGGATCATGCAATCACGAATTCGGGACAATGGGAGATGAAGATGGCGCCAACCTGTGGTAGTTCTGGGGACGCGCGCGAGTACTGCGACACGCTGGCGAGTGACCACAACGGGGGGGCGGCAAATAGCAGCATGGCTGTGTGGACGCGCCAGGTTCGATTTGAAGGCGATCTTCATATGACGGGAAAGGTTTGCGAGGCGTCAACGGCGTGTTTTGTAATGCAGGCCCCCTGGATGGAGCGAAACGCTTGGTCGCAAGAGTGTCTTCAGCACGTTGTGGAGTGCCCCAAGGCTCATGCAGCCCTGAGAGGCAGAGGAGGTTGGAAGGTTCTCAAGGGCCTGGACCCTTGGTTGGTTTCCCAGGCGCTCTTGCGCGCTCTTGCGCGGGCACGGGGTGCGTCGCGTAGGCTTTTGGGGCGCCACGAAGTCCCGAAGACGGCCAAGAGGGCCCTACGAGACTCCCAAGACGGTGGAGAAGGGCCTCGAGTCGTCGAGCGATCGGTCCAAGACGCCCAAGATGGCCTCCAGACGGCCCAAGATGCCCTGCAGGGAGGGCGGCAGTTAGACAGTCGCTGGCTCTCAGTGGTCGTTCATACACTGCCACCCTCCCCTGAGGCCCAGGAACAACCCATTGGAGGGTGTCTGTGCAACTTTTCTTGTGGCGCACTGGCCTGGTTCAAGCCGCCAGGGTGACCTTCAGTCTTGAGCGCCCGCGACGGCGCAGCCGCGGGAGCCCGTGCGCTCGAACCTGCCGAGCGGATCGCGCAACAAGCTGGGGCGAGCGCCGTACTTCTCGTCGAGCTCCTGGATGTACTCGGCCGTCATGATGCACCGGCCACGCGCAAGGAGCGGACCCCGCTCCAGAGGGACCTCTGGTCGGGAGCGGTCAAGAGGGGGGTGTCCAAGAGGGGGGGGGTGCAAATCATGACCGGCGGCATGTGCGCGGCCCAGCGAGGGGGCCAGGAACGTAACGAGGCCCCTAGGAGGCCCCAAAGAGGCCCCCAAGAGGCTTCAATGAGGCCCCATAGAGCGCTCGAGGGCTGGCGGAATGAGCGAAGCAATTAAATCAGAAGGGGCGCCATGAAATCAGGGGAAATATCATGGCCCCCGCCATGAGATCCACCCCCCCCTTAGTCCCGACCAGCCATAACTGGGGGAGCTGTGGTCCTTACCCCCCTGGAGGAACCCATCGCATCGACGATCTCTCGAGAGGGGTGTCGAAATCGATGGGTCCCCCAAGGGGGGTAAGGACCACAGCTCCCCCAGTCGTGGCTGGCCTGCAGCCATCACCCCCCTCTTTGCCGCCCCCGATCTGGAGCGCGGCCTGCCGGTGCTGGCCTTGCGCGCCTGGGCCTGGCGCCCCCCCCCCCAGGCCCTCCCCGATGGGAAGGGGAGCGCCCACTGCCTGGGCATGGCGACGACGACGACGACGACGACGACGACGACACCCGGGGAGTCCTCCCCCGGGGAGGGCCCTCCCCGATGGGATGGCAGTCCCGACCCCCGCCCCCGAACTGGCGATCCACGGGGTCGGGACCAGGGGCGGGTCCCGACCCCCTGGATCGGCGGGTTTGGGGGCGGGAGCTGGAACTGGGGGATGAGGGGTGGGTCTTCGCCTTCTGACCCAAACCTGCGATGTCCTGACCTTCTCGGTACGCGTCTCCCGTGAGTCCCGACCATTTCTCCGAGACCCCTCTTTCATCCTGAGTCGTTTCTGGTTCTCCCGGGCCCCAGTGAGGGCCCCCTGGGGCTAGGCCGAAAACAACGAAAGACCGCCCGTCCTGAGCATCGTTTAACCGGTCCCCATCCCCACCAGCGTAGGCTGGGCCCCACTGGCCGATTTACCCCACTGGGTGGGGATGTAGGCTGCTCTCTTCGGGTTTCGAGACGGAGGGGCTCGAGATGTGGATGGGGATGGGGAAAGGGATCGGTTACACGATACCGACGCCCTGATTTTTCACGGCGCCAGCACGTCTGTGGACGCAGCCTCGCACGCCAAAGGTCACCCCGGCGGAGGGCCGGCCTTGCGCGCGGCCGACTGTACGGCGAGGCGGGGACAATCTCGTCGACGAACCTGCACGCCGCGACGACGGCTTGCCGCTCGGAGTCGCTCAGCACGGGCGGCAGGCCTTGCGGGTGCGCAACACGGAGCTCATGTTCAAAACGCTCGGGGGGGGGCTTTGCCGGGGGAGCGAAGAATGACATGAACATGACAATTCCGAGGTCCGCGCGGATTTTTCGGATCGGCGCTGGAACCCCCCTGGCGGCGCCTCTGGCGCTGCCCCTGGCGCGCTCCGCGAGCCAGTGAGGGGGTCCAGCGCTGATCCGAGAAATCCGCGCGGACCTCCGAGTTTTTTTTTTTTGTTTTTTGTGTGTGTGTGTGTGTAAGTGTGTGTGTGTGTGTGTGTGTCATTCTTCATTCCCCTATTTGCTTTTTCGTTCGGTGAAACTTCGACTTTAACTTATTTCTTTATTGTGTGTTGGACCACTGTTGTGCATTTGTCCGTTTGGGTTGGCCAAAGACGGAGCAATGGAAAACTGGGAAGAGCCTCCAACTTTCTTGAACATCCGCAACGATACTGAACAAGGAATGGGACACATGTGGCATGTCATAGCTTTGACCTGACACTACCAACCGCAGGCGCGACGGCCAGCTCATAACAGAACAAATGCTAGGCGACGGGGCTCGAACGGGGTCGCCCGAATCGTTGGTTTCGGGAGGACCTGTCAGCTCCTCCCAAAGGCCGCACCAGCCTGGGACACAAGAGGCTGAGAATGCTCTTGCCCCGTCCAGCACGGATGAGCCCTGGAGGCTAAAATGTCCTAGAAAATTGTCGCCGTTGCCTGGACCCTGCACGAGCCACGCGGCGGTCCGAAAACCGCTTGCTGTGTCCCCCTTGCCGACTCCGACGCTCCTGTGAGGCTGAAGACGGATCGGGTAGAAGATGACGGGGATGCCCTCTCGCAAGACGACCCGCCGGCGAATATCCCAAAAGGTCTGGACCCGTTCTTGGGCCTGGCAAAAGCCTGGCCCCAGAAGCCGAAAACGGCAGAAATCATCCCGTCCGTTGTTTCTGCACGGCGCGAGGAGGTCAGGGTATGTGTGAATGAATGTATGAAAGTACCGATGCGATGGTGTATATGTATGCACGCATGTATGTATGTATGTTTGAATGTATGTATGCATGTAGGTACGTGTGTATGTATGTATGCATGTATGTATGTATGTATGTATGCATGTATGTTTGTATGTATGTATGTATGTATATATGCATGCATGTGTGTATGTATGTATGTATATCTATGGATGCATGTATGCATGGATGCATGTATGTGTGTATGTATGTATGTGTGTATGTATGCATGTGTGTATGTGTATATATATATGTATGTATGTATGCATTTATGTATGTATGTATGCATGCATGTATGTATGTATGTGTGTATATGTATGAATGTATGTGTGTGTGGATGTATGTATGTATGTATGTATGTATGTATGTATGTATGTATGTATGAATATATGCATGTATGTCTGTATGTATGTATGTATGTATGGTTGTGTACGTATGTATGAATGTATGCATGCCTGTATGTATGTATGTATGTAGGTGTATGTATGTGTGTATGTGCGTATGTGCGTATGTGTAAAGGTGTGTGTGTATGTATGTATGTGTATATGGTGTTGTGTATGTGAGTATGTATGTATGTATGGATGCATGCATGCATGTATGTGCTGTATGTGTGTGCGTATGTTTGTATGTATGTGTGTATGTATGTATGCATGCATGCATGTATGTATGTATGTATGTGTGTATGTATGCAGGCTGCCTGTCTGTCTGTCCGTCTGTGTGTACGTATGTATGCATGTATGTTATGTATGGATGTGTATACGTGTGTATGTGTGTATGTGTGTATGTATGTATGTATGTATGTATGTATGTATGTATGTATATATGTATGGATGTATGCGTGTATGTATGTAGGCATGTATGTGTGTGGATGCTCGTATGTATGTATGTATGTATGTATTTGTGTATGTGTGTCTGTCTGTATGTATGCATGCATGTATGTATGTATGTAGGTGTGTATATATATATATGTATGTATGTATGTTTGTTTGTATGTATATATGTATGTATGTATGTATGTATGGATGGATGGATGGATGGATGGATGGATGGATGGATGTGTGTGCACACCCACATATATATAGATATATAGATATGTGTGTGTCCATCTTGGGGACTGGTCTGGCGTCTCCTACTATTTGGGGCCTCTTGGGAGCTGGGGGCCTGTTGGGGGCCTCTGTGCGGGTCCTTGGTGCCTCTTGGGAGTCGTTTTGAGGCCCCCTTGGGCCGTCTTGGGCGCCTCTTGGACCGTCTTGGGACCCGCTTGGGCCGTCGTGGGGGCCTCTTGCGCTGGGGCTTCGGCCCGTCCCGCCGGGGGCCCCGCAAGACCCATAGGACGCCCAAGCCATCGCCCAATTCCGAAGTGTTCCTCCAAGACGGCTCAAGATGGCCTCCAAGACTGCCAAGATGGCCCTCAAGCTCGCCCAAGATGGTCCAAGATGGCCTCCAAGTCCGCCCAAGATGGTCCAAGATGGCCTTCAAGACGGCCCAAGAGGGTCCAAGATATCTCCAAGTTCACCCAAGAAGCTTCAAGACGGCCCCAGACGGCCCAAGAGGTCTCGAAGAGGCCCTTCAGGAGGGCCCGACGAGGCCAAAATCATTGGTTATCCTTACGTTTTTGAAGGATTTGGGCAGTCTCGGCATTCCGACGGCTCAAGACGGCCCAAGAGGCGGCCAAGATTGCCCCAAAACCGCCCACGAGGCCTCCAAGAGGGCCCCGTGCCGGCCCAAGAGGCCTCCAAGACGGCCCCAAGACGGCCCAAGAGACCTCCAATACGCCCAAGATGGCCTCCAAGACGGCCCCGAAGCGCCCCAAGAGGACCCCAAGTCGGTTCAGAGAGGCCCCCAAAATGGCTCCCGACGGCGTCAGACGGGCCAGGAATCCACCAAAATGGCCGAAGTTGGCTCGAAGCTGGCCCAAGACGGCCCCAAAAGGCCTCGAAGAGGGCCTCCAGGAAGGCCTGAAAAAGGCCAACAACTCTGATGATCCTAAGGTCTTTGAAGCATTTTGTCATTTGCTTCTTTTAGACCTTCCGACGGCCCGAGACGGCCCAAGAGCACCCAAAGATCGCCCAACGATCGCCCAAGAGACTTCCAAGATGGGCCCAGATCGGCCCAAGAGGCCCCCAAGACGGCCCCAAGAGGCCCCCAAGACGGCCCAGGAGACCTAAGACACCAAGATGGCCTCCAAGACGGCCCTGGAGCATTCCAAGAGGGCCCCAAGTCGGCCCAGAGAGGCCCCCCAAATGCCTTCCAACGGCGTCGGACGGGCCAAGAGCCCACCAAGACGGCCGAAGATGGCCCTAAGATAGCCCAGGACGGCCCAAGAGGCCTCCAAGAGGGCCTCCAGGAAGGCCCGAAAAGGCCACAATCATAGATCCCCAGTGAGTTGTTCAAAAGGATTGTGGCATTTGTTGTTCTTTTCTGCCTTCCGACAGCCTGAGACGGCCCAATTGCCCCCAAAGATCGACCAGTAGGCCCAAGACGGCCCCAAGAGGCCCCCAAGACGGCCCAAGAGGCCTCCAAGACGCTCAAAATGGCCTCAAAGACGGCCCAAGAGCCCTCCAAGACGTCCTCCAAGAAGGCCCGAAAGGGTCAAAACGGCCTCCCGACGGCCAAGATGACCCTCAAGACGCCCACGTGTTCCCTGAAGGCTTTCCAAACCGGCTCGGGGAACACATGATCCGATAGCTTGGCAGGTCTGGCCTCAACGTTCGGCCACATAGGCACTTCCGAAAAGGCAGGGGGCGGTGGTGATTCGCCGTAGGCGTCTTCGATACACATACATGTGTATATACATATATAGATATATATATACACACACATGAGCTGCCGCGGGCATCTACTTCGTTCAAGACGAAGAAGAAGGGGAGAAGGACGAGGAGGAGAAAGAGGAGGAGGAGGAAGAGGAAACAAGAAGAAGATTTCGTCGTTGCCGCCGATGTCTCACACACAGATGTTCGTGGTCTTTCGACCACCCGAGGCATCTCCTCGAATTCAGCTTCCAGGAACCGTTTTCGGTGCCGGGGACCACCGCCGAGAGTCCGGGGTGAGGGTCGACCTCCCTGGCCGGTGCCACCCATTCGCAAAGGAAGAAGCACGGGGTGGATCGAGGCTGGAGGCATGAGACTCCTAGTTCTTGGGCGCTCTCCGCCTCCTCTGGGCCTTCAGGAAGCTCCTCGTCGACACAGCTGGGTCCACTCTCGAACGTCTGGCTGGACGCAACCCCAGCTGGGTCTCAACGATGCCCGAGCCTATCCAGGAAAAGAAACGGAGGCCTGGGACAGGCCCGTGAAGGCCCCAAGAAACTCACATAAGACCACGAAAAACTTCAAATCAATCCCCTACAAGGCCCCCCCGTTGAACCCCACACGCTACGTAGGACAGGCCGAAACCCCAAGATTGCCGAGCGATCGCGCGCGTTCCGCGAATTGTGCCTTTCACCCTTGCTGCCGCCACAAGGGGTCGGCGGTGCGGCGTAAGCCAATGGATCTGAACGGATCGAAATGTCCGTTGACTGCATCGGCACGGAATCGGAATCGAATCGAATCAGCCACGCCATCATAAACCACGACGCCATACAAACAGCGGGCCGCACCGAATCGTCGGAATACTGGCATCGAATGGAATCGGATCGTGCAGGCCAACATCGGTGTCACATCGAATCGGTTGGATCAGGATGGACTCTTCTTCGGCAACTCAGAGTACCGTCCCAAACCATCTTGCTGGCTCTGGCGAATCGCCGCTAATCGACTACAGTTGAGGCGAAGTCGACGCTAATCGGCGCTGATCGACGACGCCGCATCGGCGTTATCCCATCGACTACCAGACGCGAATCGACGCTAACGCGCTCTAAGGCCCACATGATCGGCTACCGAAAACCTGCTTTGGGTAACCCTGGGGGCAACTCTAGGCTTAAGTCTGGCCTGTCCCCATACAGACCGATTTGGGACGAAAAATTAAAAATACCCCAAACATACCATGGACATTGTCAAACAATA